GTATTATTTTATTCTTCTCAATTTTATTTATCTCTGCTCTAATCTTTATTATGTTCCTCCTCCTACTGACTTTGGGCCTCATTTGTTTTTCTTTTTCTAGTTTTGTTAATTGTGAGTTTGAATGTTCATATGGGATTGTTCTTTCCTGAGGTAGGTCTGTATTGCAATATACTTCCCTCTTAGCAGAACTTTCACTGCCTCCCACAGATTTTGTGGTGTTGAATTATTGTTGTTATTTGTCTCCATATATTGCTTGATCTCTGTTTTAATTTGGTCATTGATCCATTGATTATTTAGCAGCATGTTATTAAGCCTCCATATGTTTGTGAGTTTTTCATTTTCTTTATGTAATTTATTTCCAGTTTCATACCGCTGTGGTCTGAGAAGCTGGTTGGTACAATTTAAATCTTTTTGAATATACTGAGGCTCTTTTTGTGGCCTAGCCTATGATCTATTCTTGAAAATATTCCATATGCATTTGAGAAGAATGTGTATCCTGTTGCTTTTGGATGGAATTTTCTATTGATGTCCATTATGTCCATCTGTTCTAATGTGTTGTTCAGTGTGTCTGTCTCCTTACTTATTTTCTGTCTGGTTGATCTGTCCTTTGGAGTGAGTGGTGTGTTGAAGTCTCCTAAAATGAATGCATGGCATTCTATTTCTCCATTTAATTCTGTTAGTATTTGTTTCACATGTGTAGGTGTTCCTGTGTTGGGCACATAGATATTTATAATAGTTATATCCTCTTGTTGGACTAACACCTTTATCATTACGTAATGTCATTCTTAGTCGCCTGTGACTTTCTTTGTTTTGAAGTCTATTTTTTCTGATACAAGTACTGCAACTCCTGCTTTTTTTTCCCTATTAGTTGTAAGAAATATCTTTTTCCACCCCTTTTTCTTTCAGTCTGTGTATGTCTTTGGGTTTGAAGTGATCCTCTTGCAGGCAGTATATAGATGGGTCTTGTTTTCTTTTTTCCATTCAGTGACTCTATGTCTTTTGATTGGTGCATTCAGACCATTTACATTTAGGGTGATTATCTATAGGTATGCACTTATTGCCATTGCAGGCTTTAGATTTGTGGTTACTGAAGGTTCAAGGATAATTCCCTTACTATCTAACAGTCTAATTTAACTCACTTAGTATGCTATTACAAACACAACCTAAAGGTTCTTTCTTTTCCTCATTTTTCTTTCTCTTCCATTCTTTATATATTAGATACCATATTCTGTTCTCTTTGTCTATCCCTTGATTGACTTTGGGGGTAGTTGATTTGATTTTGCATCTGCTTAGTAATTGATCTACTTTCTTTACTGTGATTTTATTTCCCCTGGTAACAACTATTTAGCCTTAGGAACACTTCTATCTATAGAAGTCCCACCAAAATACACTGTAGAGACAGTTTGTGGGAGGTAAATTTTCTCAGCCTTTGCTTATCTGAAAAATTTTTAATTCCTCCTTTAAATTTAAATGATAATCTTGTTGGGTGGAGTATACTTGGTTCAAGGCCCTTCTCTTTCATTGCATTAAATATATCATGTCACTCCTGTCCTGTAAGGTTTCTGTTGAGAAGTCTGATGATATTCTGATGGGCTTTCCTTTGTATGTGATCTTTTTTCTCTCTCTAGCTGCTTTTAAAAGTCTGTCCTTATCCTTGATCTTTGCCATTTTAATTATTATATGTCTTGGTGTTGTCTTCCTTGGGTCCCTTGTGTTGTGATATCTGTGTACCTCCATGGCCTGAGAGACTATCTCCTTCCCCAGACTGGGGAATTTTTCAGCAATTACCTCCCCAATGACACTTTCTATCCCTTTTTCTCTCTCTTCTTCTTCTGGTACCCCTATAATGCGAATATTGTTCCTTTTGGATTGGTCACACAGTTGACTCAATTTTCTTTCATTCCTAGAGATCCTTTTATTTCTCTCTGCCTCAGCTTCTTTGTATTCCTCTTCTCTAATTTCTATTCAATTTACTGTCTCTTCTACTACATCTAGTCTGCTTTTAAATCTCTCCATTGTATGTTTAATTTCAGATACTAAATTTCTTAATGATTGAATCTCCATCCTAAATTCGTCCCTGAGTTCTTGAATATTTTTCTGTACTTCCATGAGCATGTTTATTGTTTTTATTTTAAACTCTCCTTCAGGAAGACTGGTGAGTTCAATTTCACTTGGGCCTTTTTCTAGTGTCTGTGAGATTTTGGTTTAAGCCAGGTTCCTTTGTCATTTCATATTTGTATGTGGCACCCTCTAGTGCCTAAAAGCTGTAGTTTCTGGTGCTGCTCAACCCCTGGAGTGATGTTGGAGGTTTCAGGGGAGCAGCGCTGGTCCCTGGGTGGAAGAAAGAGCTGTTTCCTGCTTCCCGGCTCCAGTGTCTGTCTCCCCTGTTAGAACCATTCGGCCGAGCACACATGTGGAAGCCTCTGCACTTTGCATCTGTAGCTGCTGTATCCTGGACCTTCCTCTGGCTGACCTGATGCCAGGGCAAGGACTGCCTGTTTGCGAGCCAGTACCAGCAGTGTATCACAGTGGGGGACCTCGGAGCTGAGTAGCCAGCCAGGGGGATGGAGTGCCTGAAGCTCCTGAAAGTTCCCAACCTGCTGAGCAGAGCGTGCCCAGACAACCTTGTCCACCTGTTCCTTCTCCCGAGTAGCAAGCTCTGTGCAAACCCCACCCCTTCAGAAGCCCTCTTGCTTCTAGGAAGCCTCTCAGACTGACCAGTTTTCCTTTGTCCCAGAGCAGCCGGATGTGGGTCCCTGTCCTCCACAAACGGCTGGAATCTTAGTCTTTACAAGTATTCTACCTGTCTTAGCTTTCCAACCCCACTAATCTCCAGAGCACCATGCAATGTAGGTTTCTGCTCCCAAAGCAGATCTCCAGGGCTGGGTGTTCAGCAGTCCTAGGTTTCCACCCCCTTCTCTCTCTATTTCTCTTCCTCCTGATGGTGAGCTGGTGTGGGGAAAGAGACTGGGTCCCCAAATCAAGGCTTTGGTACGTTACTCTGTTTCATGAAGTCTGCTCTGTTCTCCAGGTGTATGCAGTCTGGCACAGTCTTCTTTCCTGTTGCTCTTTTAGGAATAGTTTTATTAACTATATTTCAGTATTATATGTTGTTTTGGGAGGAGTTCTCTGTCTCATCCCTCATGCCACCATGTTTAATCCTCTGTTTTCAATCTTTTTTTTTAACCTTGGAAAGTTGAGTGATCGGGCCTCCTTCCCTCACAGCCACACTTTAAACCAAACTCATAATTGTTAATATTTCAAAGTAAGTTTTTATTACTCTCATAAGTGGAAAGGGCATGGGAAATCTGTGGTTCTCAGAATGATCATGGTCCAGACCTCAGGAAAAACACCCTGTATTTTGATGGGAGGCATCCTGTTTGTGAGGAGAAAAAACACAGAGGAGAGAACCAGCACTGGTGGCTACCCTGTGGCCCACCTGGGTACGGAAAGGTGGGGCACTGAAGCCACACTTGCTCCGTAACCAGCTTTCCTCAAAGGATAAAGTGGCACATTGTTCTTCATATACTTCTGCTTTGCTGGAGCTCTTCATATACTGATATTTTAAAGTTGTAAAATGTTAGCCACTTTATTTTAAACTCTTTCTGTTTACAAAGTTCAGTGTATACATCTAAGGGTCAGAATATGAGTTTAGAAAGTGAAAAGGGATGATGGGAGTTTGTAGGATTTTAGGTAATTAAAAATATGCACACATACACCCTAGGTTTGACTTTTTAGTGAAAACTGTACAGGGTTCCATATCAGACATTTTTTCAGAAAAAGAAAAAATGGTTAATTAAGCAAGTTGCAGAAAAAAGTGACTTTTATGTATAACTATATGCAGATTTGATGTGTATGCATCAGCTTTATGTATCCAGGATTTTGTCTTTGGAAGAGAATATTTAGAAACCCATCATATGGTAATTTCAGTGGATCATCAGAACACGTAATTCTGTTACACACAATTTATGACCTGGGATCTCATTTCATCATATACACAAATTACTGCAGAGACTTACATGATTTTACAGAGACTGATTATCGAACAAGAATTGGCCTGCTACTAGGATCATAAATAAATCTGCAGCGTGTTTGAGTAAAGTTTAGGTAATTTAAAAGATTTGACAAAGCTTTTGAAAACAATTGTGTCTTATAGGGAAGATAATACCATCCATAATGTTTGTGGAACTTTTACCCACGAGAACCTTATTATTGCCATTGTGGTTTTAAAAATATAATGGAGATTCTGTTTTGTTTGGTTTTAATTGTTTTACTACAGCTATCAAAAAAAATAGCAAGCAAAAGAGAAGAAAAAACAATTCAGTGAAACTCTCAAGTTAATAATTTATTCAAGAAGATTTTTGTTTTTTTTACCTTTACTTCTTTCTGTTGCAGTGTACAGGAAGTTTTCCTTATGACTTCAAGCTGTGGGTCCCTTATTATCATGTTTAGCATTTCATTGCATGACAGAACATAGATTACAAACACTCTATTTACTAGTACAGTATCTCTTTTGATTTTGATACAGAACTTAAAATATGGTCTGTGATATATTGGTATGAAATTCTGAATTCTGATGGTTTACCCTAAATTTCTTTTCTAATTTAGTTTTAATCATCTCAGTCATCTTCTATTCAGAAGTATGCTTACATAATGGAGAAGCACAAACCATTTTTATTTAAAGGCAAAAACAAAACATCTTTGTTGTATTTAGTTAATCATTAAATGTCTGTAGAATGGGAGATAATGTAGACTCACATGGAGTTGATATGGACATAGGTGTAACCATCCTGAGAATATGTTGATTTTTATCAGTTTTTATTTTGACTTCAGAGAAACTAACTTTAGACACCAAGTCATATTAGCTATGTATTGAAAGGAATCTTTCTTTTTTTAATTGCTTGGACTCTGCAACTCGAGTGTGTTTCTGAATTTTTGGTCGTTTTAATGTCTCTAACATTGCATGTCTAAACCAGAAATTATTTCTCTTCTCTTAATAGACTGGAAGGAAAGAAAAAGGAGATCCTCTAAACATTGCAATTGATAAGATGACCAAGAAAACACGAGATCTAAGGAGACAGGTACTGTTTTCACTTTTAAGTGCATGTTACTTAGAGGTGGTTTCCAAGAATGTCTTTTTCTTGGAACATAGAGCTTATGTTCAGGTTGCTTATTCTTTAGAACATCTACATATACAAAGAAACATCTTCTCAACAAGGTAGGGTCAGCTGAGTATACAGATGTGACAGCTGCAAGAGGTGTGATGATGAAAACGACCTTGGAAGGGACACTGTGTTCACTGCCCAGAGACAGTCTTCCTAGGTGGAAACTTGATGAGTATACTACTTTGTACCTCTGGTTTTCAGTTTTTCAGATCCAGATAGGCAAAGAGCCAGTCTCTGATTTCTGCTGGTTCTTATTTATCATGAATCCCAATGCATCACGTGAATAAATAAGAATGCTAATCATTATTGAGAAATACAACTCTTCATCTAATGTGCTCATTAAGTTCTCTGACCCAGCGTGGACATAACTCTAGGGGAAAGTTTGCTTATCAGATGGTTGTTTGGTAAGCAGAGAACCAAAGCAAAGAAAGTTGGATGATTTGAATGGGTCAGTAGTATGATGTGTCCATTTACTGGGGGTGGGTAGGAATCTCTGGCCGGGACTCCTTTTCATCTTGAAAGTGCTATAAGTAACTCTGTAGTATTTCATCCTTATTTTCTGTTTCCATGGTGAGTTCCACTTTTTCTTTGGTAGTGTTTTCTCTCTAGAAGAGTTATACCAACCATTGACTTAATTATTTTGACTTCAAAGAAACCTAACTTTAGAGACCAAATCATATTAGCTATGTAGTGAAAGGAATTGTTCTTTTTTTTTAATTGCTTGATTTAATCAATTAAAATCCTTTCTCAATTTCTGCCTGAGAGGCACCCTATCTCCTACCAGTAGCTTTTGCCTATACCCATCTTATTGATTAAGTGTGGATTATGTTAGTCAGCTAGGTCCAAGCACTGTCCCAGGGCAATACCAGCTTTACATTGTACAGCTGGAATAGCTGGACTGGCGTGCATACATCTAAGCACTTAGACAAGATTAGAAAGTGCTTGGGCAAGAATGGCCCAAGAAGCATATTAGAAATGAGTTGCATGAGAGGAAGACGCGATTCTGATTACTGCTGAAGAGTTTTGGAGCTTTCTTGAGGATATCACCAGAAGGTGTAGACACACTTGAGCTAGGCTCCTCTAGAAGATATCACAGTTAGTTCTGAAATATGAAGACTTCAGTTTGACTGCCCCACTAACAAGCCCTTGGAGGAAAGCATTTCCTTTGTATTTTCTCTTGAAATTTGGGAGAATAAAACAGTGTCCTGTTAGGCCTTAGTAGTACTAAATAGATATGCTTCTCCTTGGCCTCTTAGACACACTTCTTCATATGAAGTCCTCATCTGATATGAAATGATGTGGGTAATAGGAATAGGGATTGGTGTTAATGGCAAACATTGAATCAGGTGAATCAGGAAGTAAGAGCCCAGGTCTTAACTTCCAGCTCTGTCACTAAACTGGCTGTGCAACTAGGGGTCCTCATCTCTTGGTTTCCTTTTCTCATCTACAAAAGTAAGGAGCCAAGCTAGATCTGTAAGCTCTCTTTGAGCTGATGAGATTGAATGGGTCCAAAGGAAGTCCCCATTCATTTCCTATGCCAGAGGTCCTCTCTCACCTGATAAGCAGATTTTGTAAACTGTGAGAGGGCATATTCTCTAGGGCTGGTCTTTGACTAGACTGTCAATCAGACTGAGTTAATGAACTGAGTCTTCTCACTTCCTCACTCTCTTTGTCTTACTTAGGGACTGTTCTTTTACATTTAGGGGCCAGCACACCTGTAGTCTTCTTAGGAGGAAATGGATGAAGTAATTTTTACTTTGGTGTTTCAACTGTCAGAAAATGGCTGACTCTTTTTTGTTGAAGATAATGATGAAATTTGAAGGTGTAATTTTAAATGCTTTGGTGGCAAGCTCCTGGAGGGCTTCTTTTAGGATGGAAGTGAAAGGAATATGTGAAATCATACCAGGCATAAGATTTTTTTTTCTGCTCGCTTTTCCTAAAGATTGAGAGGAATAAGGGTAAAAAGAATTGTTTCATGATATTAAGATCCAACAGTTATGGCATAATTTCACACCACATCCTTGAATTTGGTTCAAACATCTTTCGCTTCCCCAGTCTGCCTTTCTAGAACTAGGATGGTCCCCATCTGTCTGTTCCATCCCTATCCATATGTTGAGATATTTTTGTCTTTCTTCCCACCTCTTCTGTTCTTCTACGTACACCTGTAGTGGTACAAAAGCTTCTCTGATTTAATCAGAAGCTGCCTAGCATTTCTGCAGATGGAATATACAAGGACTGATTAACTTGACTCAGGTAGATCTTCAGCTTCCATTTGGATAGTTAGTTAATTGTATTAACAAGGTTTTACCCGAGTCTCTGATAGTGCTTATTAGTGTGATCCAGTGAATGCTAGTGTTCAAATGGATGTTTCGCTATTGCTGAAATACTCTCTCTTCTTCCAATTACTGACAAGCTTTGTTTAAAAGAGATTCTAAATGAGAATGCTCACTTTATCCATGCCCACTTCCCTGTGCACATGTATTCCTTTCTACAATATATAGAGCAATTCAATCACACAAGGAAAACCAAACTGAAATAAAAGAAAAACAGTTCTGGTGACTTGTGTAAGTCCCCACTCTTTCCATCTCCTGCCTCTTCCTCATTGTTCTAAGATTGGACAATGTCCTTCAAAGGGTGACCCTGGAGTCTTGCAAAGTTCTAGTCACCAAATTAAAAATAAATAAAGTTGATTATGATCATTATCTTGGACTTCCCTAATGAAATAAAGTGGACTAAAACTTGCACTTGAAAAAAATCAAGAGTAATTGAATAAAAAGGATTTCTGTTTAAGTAGGGTTTTGAAGTAAATAGAATCCCTTTCTTCAGGCAATATTTCCCAAAGAACTGGGGATTCAGAAGTTGGGAAAAGGTCACAGGAACCCAAGAGTGTTATTTCAAAGTGGTTGGCACAGAACCATCTTGCCAGTTAAACCCATGAGAGTGGGCAGTGGCAGAGCAGAATCCTCTTAGGAGTATTTTGCTTGGAATAAAACTGCCAGCTTTAAGCATCATGTTTTAATCTTAGAGCTGTGGGCACAGTATGCCCCATGTATGAGCTCGTGTCACTGCTGTGACTTGGAGTCAGACCATGACAAAAATAAAACCATTTGGCTGGCTCCCCACCTGGGTACCTAGTAGCCCACATGGTCTATCCGTCCCTGAGAGAGGACCCAGTCAGTGTTTGCCAGCTGCTCCTCCATGTCTGCCTTCTACGGGCCACCTGTGAACTATTCTAGGCATGGTCTCCTAATTTTCTCTAAGCCTAAAGGGATGCTGGTTTATCCTGGTTATTACTTTCATCCTTCCATTCGTCTTTTTTCCCCCAAGTTTATAAGCAAATCAGGACCCATGTGTTTCCCTATGAAAAGCTAGTAAATAATAATCATAAAACACATTATTACTAAACTTAGCAACTGTCTCATTCCCAAAGCCAATCAAAGGGCCAAATTCTTATCCCTTCACCCTTATTAGCCATCACAATAATTCCAGCAATGAGATTCAATAAGTGTCAACTTGACAGAAGTGTCAGTTTTGCTATTAAAATCAAAACATTTTGAAGAGACAACAAAAACCATGGATAGAATGCTTTTCCACTGGGATGTATACTTAATCAAATGGATTATATAACAAAGGATTAAGCACAAATAAGCAAAATGTGTCATGGAATGGTATGTTTAAAGGTTGATTTATCAAGACCTTGCCTCCAGATAGGACCAAAGAAAAATCTGCCAACACTAAGAAATAAATGTAGTTAAAGAGTCTCCTCAGTCACCCGCTTTGTGACCCATCTACTTATATAAGAACTATGCGTAAACGTGAGCACTCATCAGCAAGAGCTTGTAAAATTCCTGTCCACAAAATATAAAATTATAGCTGGCATGTATTGATTCCTTAAGTGTGCCAAGCACTGTTTTAATTTCTCTCCATAGTGGACCGCATTTAACCATTGCACCTGCTCTGTGAGATGGGAAAGACAATCACCATGCCCGTGTTACAGTTGAGGACATGAACTGAAATAATGCACCAATAATGTACCCACAAGAAAATCTGTGGTGAATGTCAAAACTATTGTTCTTGTTTGTCCCTCAGCTTTCCAGCTATTATGGTTCATTGGATCCTCTTTTTGAGAAACGCTATTAGGTTTAGGTAGCTGGCTTCTCAAAGCATGAATTATAGATGTTCCAAAACTTTTACAAAAAAAGGAATTTTAAGCCATTCTATTTTTTGTTGTTGTTCTCACCTGCTCATGATGGGGACAATTATTTTTAGATTCATTGTAAAAAAAAAACTTTTTAAAGGCACTTATTTCTGGACTTGAATCTGTTTTCCCTCATGAGCACATGAGGCTATCTGTATGGCTATGAAGAAGTTATAAAATAGATTCCAATTTCCTCCAAATGTGAAGATTTGTGTCCTTCACACTGAAAACCTATGTCAAATCTGATAAAATCCTTGGAGTTTGTCCCTAGTCAGATTGCCATGCTGCCATAGAAGTGTGGAGACCGGAAAATGGTTATTCAGTAATTAGGATTTGAAATACAGAACATTAGCAATTCAGCAACAGATGAATACAAACTGCATCAGAAACACCAAAGATCAGAACCAAAAAGTCAAGAAGTGGAAGGGCAGAAGAAGAGACCTGCCCCTTGATCACAGGTTATGTATCCAAGCTACCTTTGCCTTAGTGAAACCCTGATATACCAGCCCTGAAAGTCAGACCACCACATACTCATTAATCTCCTAGAAAACAATCATGAGGCCAAGTTCAAAGTACATGGTTTCATCAGTTGGAAATAGTTCTTAAAATGTCACTGTGATCAAGCTCTTCTCATATGAACACACTGCTCAGTCATCTAGTGGTTTAATGTATTCCTCTGAACTAGCATATGGTTGACTGTTCACACATCAACACAAGT